TGGGTGGGTAGGTAGGACACATCGAACACTGCCTGCACATCATGTGCCCCTTCAAGCCATGCTGAATAATACCCTTTGCACCCTTGCAAGCTCGTCGTTGTCAGCGCCCAGCTGCGACCTCTCCAGCTGCTACTACACGCATGGGCAGCTCTGCGGGAGCGTTGCGAGCTGGCGGTCCAGCCATGCGGGGGTGGCGGCTGCGGGCTGCTGGGGTGGCACCTCTACTTGCCAGTGCAAGGCATGCTCACCATTGTAGAGCTGCACGCTTCGGGCGCCGGGACAGGACTGCCTGGAGGCTCAGACAGCTGTTTTGTCACCAGCACAAGAGTCAGTCACTAAGCACTCGGTCGATGGCAACACTGGTGAAAACAAGTCTGAGCAATGCCGCGTACGTTGTGTCGTGCTAACTCGCCTGAGCGCTGTGCCGGGGAGGCTGCCACACCCGAGTGTGCTGGGTTTCAGGGCCAAAAGCTGGCAGACTAGAAGCGATTCGGCAAGCTATATCAGCGAGAATGTTGCATTGCTAATGCCATCGCATTGAGTGGCCGCGCTTGTACGTCGGTCCACAGGAACACACATCTCCGGCAGTGACCAGGAGCCTTGTTCGCGGTCCAAGTGACACCCGACGCGGTGGCCCGTGATCCCGTTTATACAATAGTTTGTCAACAGTCTTGCTTGCGCGTCCGGCTCCAAGTGCAGGAGAGCCGTGCAGAAGTGGCCAGCCCTGCACATGAGCGGCCGCCGCCTCGTTCGGCGCCGGTGGATGTCACCGAGGGAGTGGTGGGAAGCATGACGCCCCTGGTGACGGAACCGCCCCAGGCTGTGACGGCGATCGATGCCGCCAAAAGCGCCGCTGCTGGTGCTCCTGAAGCACCTGGGGCTGCAAAGGCTGCAGCTGATCCTTGCGCCATATTCAGTGCTCACAGCGCCATCGCAGGCACCGCGCCGGTCGCTGTTCTTGATGACAAAGCGCGATCAGGCACTCGCGAATCTTGCACCGGCTGCCACACTGTTGTCCCTGCAGGTCTGCGTCAAAGGTGAAAGGGAAGGTGAGATTGCGAAAAGTACACGTTTTGTACATGCATTATTCCCAGCTGCCTGGTCTGCCATGCGAGCGGAATGGAAGTTGGTGCCACCATAATTCGGCTGCCATATGATGCCAATCCTGCCGGAATTGGCAGCAAAAGCCACATACATGACTAGGTGCTGGTGCACTTGCTTTATCTCCCAACCTGGGTGCGCTCGTATTCCTGAACAGATAGAAATGAACCTTGTCACAGCCAAGCAACCCAATCTGCTGGGTTCACAGCAGCAGGTTGAGAAGGCACTAGATTGCCGCCAGTTGCAAACCGCCTGCACAATCATGTGTGACAAGAAAAAGCTTGCAAACCTGTCAGAGTACAGGATTTATAGGGGGCAGGGTGCAATCGCATTGTCAGTAACTCTGTTCCAAGGTTTGAGTCCCGTAGCTCCTCAACACTGAACCCTTGGGGTGAGCAAGCACGAGCGTAAACGTGGTCGTCTTTTGCATTTTTCAAGGCTTGAAGGACATACAGTAATGCACACATTATTGGTAGCTTTATGGTGCTAAATCTACGTTGCATCCCCGCACGGGATAGGTGCACACATCAGAATGCATATCTGGCACATCCACCTTGAAAGCTCCAGAGCGTGAAGTCGTCTCAAACAGGCAACACGGGCAGCATCTGCTTACCTGTTACGGGAACACCGTGGTGTTCAGGGCTTTAGTGCAACCTACACTATCAGGTCTTGCCCTGCTGACAGATACACGTGTAAGGCTGCTTCTTGCATGTCAACTGCGCTGCGCAGCTGCCATTGGTGGCTAGCACTGCAGCACGGATGCATTACAGGCGAAGTGAGCACTTTTGCAAACAGTTCCAGGACAGATTAAAACTGGCAGCCGTGTGTATTTGTCAGTGGGCTGCAGCGAGGCTGAAGCCACATGCATGTTTGGTCGCAAGAAAGTGCAATAAAGGAGAGCCACGGGCGCCAGGCGCATTGAAGCATGTGACGTTTTCTCCAGGCAATGCCGGCCGCCGGCAAAGGCCTCTCAGCAAGCAAGGAGTAAAGGACACACCGCTGCTGTTGCTGCTCGTGCGCCTGTGTGATGGGACACAATACATGCGTATGGTGCCAAGGAGATGCGGCATTTATTCATGGGCCCCGAGGCGCACGTGATGGGGCACGCAACAATCACACCTCCAGGTGGTGTCAAAGCGCGTAGTACTCATGGCAGCCAATCGGCGCCTGGCTGCTGCCCGTGCCCATCTTGGGGGGCCAGCAGTTCATGAGACTCCAGTCAAAAGTCAATTCGCGTGGATCCAGTCGGTTTGGCCCACGCACGCATGCGCTGTGATCAACTTGTGCGTCAAAAGCGAGATTCACTCCTGAACGCTAGCTTTAAACCAACAGCGAACCCAATCTGCCGCACTTCAAGTCACAGCAGCATGTTTGCAAGGCCCGTAAGTGCCACCGGTTGCGCAACGGCTGCGCATCGACGTGTGGCAATCACAGTCCCGTGCACTCCAGTCGTTTGCAGGGCTTGCTTGAGTGCAGGATGTGGGGACATTTGCCAGTGGGGAGCCAGCGCAACACAGCTGGCAGCCTGCCAGTCGCCTGTCAATGGCCACAAAGGCAGGACCCACATAGCCAGGTAGCCGCCTGAAACATCACAGGTAATCGACGCGATACGAGGCAGTGCAATCCTCTTTCCAGTTGGGGCAATAAAGGGTGGGTGGTTGTTCCGTCTGCAACCAGGTGCTGCGATGTTCATGGGCCGTGGTTTGAGGGCGCAGCTTGGCCATACGTGGGGCTTCAGATTCCACAAGCTCACGACTGATAGGCAATTTGGGCTTGGAGCGCTGGTTGTGAGGGCCCCCCCGGCCGAGGACAAGGTCCCTGCGTCCATGGAAAGGCTGATGGCAGTGGTATGCTTGGAGGGTGTGCAAATCGCACAGTCTCGCGATGTATAGCAGTGCTGCAGAGCGGGTGCGTTGGGCCCTAAGAAAGGTTGTTGCTGTTGCAGCCCTCAGAGTCACTGTCACAGGGTTGGTGTGGACACCAAGCTGTGCAGGAGTGCATGCGCACCACAACTGCCGGTCAAAACAGATGTTCGGCCTTCACAACGCCGCGCGAGCGGCATGCAGGTGATCACCATTGGCCGCCCGCGTGAACAGAAGGGGGGAGGGGTGACAGAAGGGGGTACCAGGGGTTTGCTTTCAGCGCTGTTGATCCGGCCGCCTAGAGCGTTGGGAAGGGTTGGTTTATTCAAGGACAGATGAACAGCGGTTTGCTGTGGTTAAGCAGGGCTCTGCGCATGCGCAAAAGCCGGGCATGCGCAGCGAGAAAAGGGTCTGCGACTGTGCCATGCTGCGCCGCTCTGCGCCCCACTGGCATGCGGTGGAGACCTATGGCGTCGATTCAGCCCTAGAGTAGTGCTAGGGGTTTCACCGTCTTCGTGTCTTGTGACCGCATTTGCCGTATGCAGCCAACACAGAACCTTGCAACGGAACCTCTGGCGGCCCAGTTGCAGCTGTGCAATTGTCGCAGCAGCCCGTGCCCTGCACACCCAGCAGCAGCACGGCCAGATCAAACTCCGAGGTCCTCGGTCTCTGGCAGCAGCATCTCCACTTCCGCCACGTCAGCATCCGTTGCGTCCAGTGCGTCCACAGCGGCGAATGCAGTGGTGCCGTTTTTGCACAAAGTTGCATCTCTGACAGTGCCTGATGACCCGAATGGCTGGCACGTCGGAGGCGTTACGCCCTTCTTCACGCGCTTGGCCTTGAAGATGCAGACGGGCGCAAAGCCCTCGCACGTTGCGCCAGTCTCCCTCACAAGCCCGGTGAAGCGCAGCAGGTATTGGCGACCGCTCACACGTCCAGCGGCGGTGTTTGGGGACGGTGAGACGCCCGGCATAAGCAGCGCGGCCTGGCCGGCGGTTGCGATGATGCCATCTGGAATGCAAGCGCAGTTGTCGGATGGGGTCTTGCGGCATGTCTTGCATGCGTTCTCCGCCTGGTTGACCATGATACCCGTGATTGTGGGATACACCTGTAGGGGATCAAGAAGATGTTTTCAGTAAGCAAGTATTGGGGCTTGGCAGGTGTGGTGCACGCGGCGGCGTTCAACAGGGGGGGCTTGCAGTATTAAAGCTTGCCAAGGGGCTCGACTCGCTCACAGTCTCCACAACAGCCAGGGGCAAAAAGCAAGCAGGCGTGTTTGTGGGCATTATGCGCGCAGGGCTCGTCCGGCGTAGCCTCACCATCCGGCCAGTGGCGTCTGCAAAAGGCGGGATGGTCACTGAGGCCTGGATCTTCTGCTTCTTGCCGCGTCGGAGGGCCTGAGGGATGAAGAGCAACGGGTGCCCGCGTGCAGGTGTCAGCGGGCTGCAATCAGTGCAGGCGGATGCTGGCGGACGCTCCCATGCCTTTTGAGAGTGTCAGGCAGCGGCATGCCCGCAGACTTGACGCTTGCAACCAAGTGGCAAGGCGCTCGGCTATGCGTTCCACCGCACCAGCGCTGCATCAGGGTCACCGTGGTGCACGCACCTTTTTGGAGGCGCAGTTGGCGCCGTTGCTCTGCGCCTTAAGCATGGCGACAGAAGCGGGGCGCATCCGAATGACGTCACCATTATTGATGCCCTTGATCGCAATCGGGGTCCCGCCGCACGAGGTGATGTTTGAAGCCGAGAGGGGGTACACCTGCAGCCACACGGAGTCAGCGGCGGATCGAGCTACAACACCAGGGGTGATCACAGCGTCACACAGCGGCTGGCAGCAGTCAGGGAAATAGGACAACAATGCGTGTGTGCGTTGCCCAGAAACAGTGCCGTGACTGTGCCGGAAACAGCAAGGTGAAGCTGCATTGCAGTCCTGACCAGCCGACCAGGAAGATCTCTGCGTTGCGCGACCTTTGCACACCACGTCGAGTCCCTTTGTCCCAGTCCCTGGCTGATGCGCGGGGCGCAGCTCACCGTGAGGGTGGTCTTGGCGCTTGCAGTGACACTCTTGGAGTCTGTGATGCAGGTTGGTGCAATCGCCATTGACTCAGCGGCCATTTGAAGGTTGGCAACAGCAGGGACATGATCATTATACACATCTTCCCGCATCGCAAGAACCCTGGCTTGCAAGGGCTCAAGACGGCCCTCCTGTGGTACAGCTTAGTCCCCGCTCACCTGCAGCCCGCAGCCGCACAGAGCAAACCAGCGCCGCCGTCAACCCGTTGGTGTTGATGAGGTTGGTGCTGTTGGCATCCAAGTTGGCGCCAGTGCTGACATTAAACACAAGACCCTGCAAAACCTTGGACTGAGGCAGCAGCGCGCCCTGCGCGGGGCAGTCAATGGTCCACGCATACGTGCAGGGCGCATCGGTGCACTTTGCGGTTCCGGCCATCCCCACAGTCTCGCCGGCAACCGCGGCGTAGGGCGCGTTGATGAGGGTGACGGTCGGGCCCGAGGGGTACACTGTCGAGTGGCGGCGCGGGTGCGTTGATGACGTGTGGGGCGGGCTCACATTTCGTGGCAGGTTGCCCGTGCAGGAGCGGGTGGTATGTGCCGGGGCGTTTCAAGCACTCCAATGCTGTAAACCAGCTGCTCTAAAGCGGGCGACTGTAGATAACAGCACACCACTCAAGCGCGGCAAACCCAATCGGCTGGTCCTCCCCTCAACATGCTCACACGTGAGGGCAGTTGAAGTCTTTGTGGTCTGGGGCGGCTTGGACGAGTCTGTGACGGTCAGCGTCACATTGCATCTGCGTGTGCCAGAAGGTGAAGGGGTTTGAGCTTCAGGGGAACCAAGGCAGATCATTTCCCCTGACGTATGGGCTTGCTTATATGTGAGGGTTACCAGGCGGCAATGATAGCTAAGGAGGACTTTTGAATAGTTCACCAAAGACAGGTTGTGGAAAGGTCTCGATCAGTAGGCCACCGGCGACCCTGCCGCGTATGCACGGTCGGCCAGTACGGCCGTGCACACACAGCCCTGAGGCACACAGCGGGCTCTGTGTTACTCACTCAGTGATCTCCTCCACGCGCGTAGGCTTGAAAGGGTTGATGGTGGCGGAAGGGCTGTCGCCAATCAGCACAGGGACTTTCTTGCCGTCCAGCTTGGCGCTGCGACCGTCCGCGCAGTCGACAGCCCACTGTGTCGACAGCCCCACAGCAGGGCGATGCAAGAGGGGGAAGGAGCATGTTGATGGGGCAGCTAAACATGACATCCTCAGACAAGCGCAAGTCGGTTTCACGCTTTGCTTGAGCAAACAGCTCATAAACATGCAGCAGGCAAAGCGCGCCGCAAACTTATCATGTGTGTGATGGCAGCTTCATTCGTGCACGCGCAACAGCAGCATGGTTGCGTTGCAATTGGAGGGACGCATGGTTGCTCTGAAAATGGAAGGGATGCTGCGCACCTGGTATGTGCATGGCGGGCTGGCGCATGACGCGTTGCCGGCGTCAAAGGTGGTCTGAGCGGGATAATCCGGGCCGATCTGGAACGGCGCACCGGCGATGCTTGAGGGACCAGGAGGGGCCTGAGCCATAGAGCAGGATGGGGGGTCGCAGCATCGCCGCTGTTTAGCAAAGCAGACTCCTCCAGCAAGGCAACTGTGCACCCTGGGTGCATGGCTTACAACACACCCCACAGCATTCACATTACTGATGGGCTGACGTTGCTGATTCTGAGATCAATCTACCTCTGCAAGCACACCGCCCATAACCTGTCACCCCTTGGTCTTGGAGAGCTGACTGGCTTTCCTGCAGCCTTGTGTTCATGCCCTCACCAAGTACGTGACATTACTGCTGGCCGACATGGTCTGGTTTCCGGGGGCAGTGACTGTGACGGCTAGCTCGCACTCCTTGTTGCCTGAGTTTGTGAGATTGAGGAAGTCAGGAGTTGACGGCAGGATCACAAGGTCGGCAAGCGGTCCAAACACCACGTTGTGGCATATTGCTCCACTAGAATTGTGAAGAACTAGGCCATACATCCACCCGTTGACGCGTCCCTGGGATGCATGCAACGCAGGCAAGCACTTATAACTGCGACGACCTCGGGAGAGGAGGAGCCAAAGAAAGGGGCACAGCCGTTTCTTATCCCCGGCGGCACTCACCATAAGGTGCAAAAGGGTCCACAGCTGCAATAGCAGAATTCAGGCAGAGTGCGGGTGCGATGAATTGGGGTTGGATTTCAAGTTGCAAGTGTGGTGCGTGGCGCACACTCGCGTACGGCAGCGCAAGGGGGCAGCGGTAAGCAGCGCTGTTGATACCTGACCTATACTGCATCCGCGCGCCCTCCCGATGCAGCGCGAGCTCACCCTTGCCGCTGCCGACGACAAAGCTGAAATTAGCGGAGGTGCTGGTGGCGGTCGGCACTGCCGTGCCTGGCGGGCACTTGAGCGTCCCTGTGTGGCGAGCAGGGGCGAGGTGGACAGGCAAAGGGAACGTGAGGGCACATCGGTTTTACAGTGCCTTGCATGCAACTGCGTGCATAAGTTCCTGCATAAAGCTGATTTGATCTGGGCATGGGACCTCGCTGAACAAGTCCAGGTGTCACCGCTCACATGTGTAATTGGACCCCTGAGGGATGCCAGAGGTATTGACCGCCAGGTTGACCGGCTGGAGGGGCAGAGAGGTGCAGTGAGGGGTGTGTGGGGAAGTGCATGGGAAGTGCATGGATGCAAGAGGCTCAGGACCACATTTGGGCAGGACACCCATTCATGATAGTTGGTTCCAGTAGCGCAAAATCAACACTGCACATTGCAGGCAGACAGCCAGCCAGGTTAACCGGCACTTTGCCAACAGCTTAGAGTACCCATTCAGCCCCGCGCGGCTCACCACTGGGTACGGTCCGCCAACGGCGGAGCCAGTTGGGGGCAGCCCACTGAACGCGTTTGGCAAGGACAGCGGGGACGGCACTGCAAGGATGAGGCAGGGGAGAGACGGTTTGACAGAGAGGTGTGAGGGGGCATGGCTCGCCGATGCCAGAGAGACATGGATGCACAGGCCTTTCAAATAAGGCGGCCCTGCACCATAGCAGGAACAGACAGAGCCGCGTGACAGCTTCACTCATGGCCTCCAGGTATCTGGTGGGTGCGGCGATCAGGCCTTGTTGCTGGACGCACCCAGAAGCTTTGTGGCGGTGGTCAAGACTTGCGGCGGCACTGACGAGTCAGTGACTTTCAGTGTCACGGTGAGGCTGCAGGCGGTCAGAGGGAAAGGGCGGAGCGGATGAGCTCGTGGTGGTGGTGGTAGCAAATCGCGGCGCCAGGCAACACATGTGAGTACATCTGTACTGAACTGCATGTCTGAAATGTTGGCTGCTAACAAAATCAACTTCTATGGCTGCGCAAACAAGGAGTGGGGAGCTGTTAGCACGGAAACCATGCGGGAAGTCTACTTGAGATGCTAAACGCTGGATTGCCTCCAGAGTGAGCTGGATGTGCACCCTGTTGCTGCCCTCGCACACTTTCCCCTTGTCTGGCCATGATGATCCTCACTTGGCATCGGAAGATGTGAAGGGGGATTTGTAGGGGTCCACTGCCTCGCTACTGCCGATGCCCAGGGGAACCTTGGCGCCAGTCCGGGTGACGTTGCTGCCATCCGGTAGGGTGGTTATCCACTGGCAGGGCAAACATGAAACGGGAGTTGCCGCGCATGGTGCACGATGCAGGGTATGTGTATGTGAGACTTGCTGACGTGGTGCATCCGGCTGAGATGCTGCGACAGAAGGGTGTCAGGAGTGATTCTGGGCGACTGGATTGACATCAGCAAGCGGACTCAGTGATATGAACAGCAGCACCATGTGGCGGCATAATCACTCAGCTTCGTGCGGTGCATTGCAGTACCCCCAAGGCTGCCTAACTGTTAATCCTTGCTTCACTCAGCTGTGAGGCAGGCTGGTGAAGGAGTCCGGCAGCTGCCCACTCTTGAGGTGAGTGTTTGATCATGCCCTGGGGGTGGTTTGGGTGACACACGCAAGCATACCGCAACCACCCACCTCGTAGGTGCAGGGCGGCACGTTGCACTTAGTGTCAGTAGCTTCCAGGTTGACAACACTTGGATAGGGCATCTTGGCAGTGAAGGGCGCACCCGCCAGAGTCGCAGTGGGAGTTGGCTGTGCAGGTGCAGAGGATCAGAGGATTGTTAGCAGCGTGGCCTGGTTGTGTATGATGGACTGTGCTATGACACTCATCAAGGCGCAAATGGGAGGAGGTCCAGAAGGCGTCATCACACCTGTGTCAATGCGTTCCTTGCAAGCAACCGATGCTTGGACGGCATAATGTACTACATGCGAATGCCTTGTCTCATGTGTCAGGCAAGGCGTGCAGCCCACTCACCAGGACTGTGATGTTGCTGCTGGCGGTGGTGCACCCCTTCAGAGGCACGCAGATCGTCACAGCCACGGAGCAGGGCAGGGCGCCATACGTGGGGGAGAAGGGGTCCACCTCTGCGTGGGGCATTGTTCAGGGTTGAGAGTCAGGGTTGACAGTGTGCGGCTTGGGCCACACCTGGTCTGCCTGGATATAAGCACCCCAAAGCTGGGGCAAAAGTGCAAGTCTCCAGGGCTTGGGATGGCATGTGCACAATATCAGTAAGAACGCACTTCTGGCATGCTCCCTGCACTCAGTAAGTGTCGCGGATGGTACCCAGCAGCGCGCAACAGCACCAAGGAGGCAGCGGTCAGCAGCGCTGTTGACACCTGTCCTACTGCGCATGCAGGCCCTACCAACGCAGCGCAAGCCCACCCTTGCCACTGCCGACGACGAAGCTGAAATTTGCGGAGCTGCTGGTAGCAGTGGGCACTGCCGCGCTTGGCGGGCACTTGAGCGTCCCTGAGAGGCGGTCAGAAGCGAGGTGGATAGGCAAAGGGAAGGTAAGGGCATGTCCGTTTGCACAGCGCCTGGCACGCAAGCGTGCGCAAACAATGTCGCGTGTGCAGGTTGTTGGATGAGCTAGGCGTGGGCCCTGGCTAAACGAGCCCAGGTTCAACCGCTCACAGGTGTAATTGGACCCCTGAGGGATGCCAGAGGTGTTGACCGCGAGGTTGACCGGCTGGAGGGGCAGAGGGGTGCAGTGAGGGTGGGGAGGGGATGCATGGATGTGAGAGGTCCAGGAACACAGATCAGACAGGACACACAATAATGCTTGCGGCTAAATTGCTGAGGGTCAGTGTGGACACACAGCCAGCTAGGTCATCTGGGTCTTTGCCAAAAGCTCAGGGTGAGCGTTCAGCCCTGCGCGGCTCACCACTGGGTATGGTCCGCCCACAGCGGAGCCAGTTGGGGGCAGCCCACTGAACGCGTTTGGCAAGGACAGCGGGGCCGGCACTGCGAGCACGAGGCAGCGGAGAGGCAGATTGAGCCACAGCTGAAGGTGCGCAGCGTGCGGCCATGCACGAGAGAGCGGGTCAGACAATGCTTTCAAACAGGAGACAATGCTTTCAAACAGGGCGGCCCTGCACGCATAGCAGGAATGTATAGAGCCGCAAGACTGTTGTGCTAATGGCACGTAGGTATCTGGTTGGGCGGCAACCAGGCCTTGTTGCTGCACGCACCCAGAAGCTTTGTAGCGGTGGTTGAGACTTGGGGCGGCACTGACGAGTCAGTGACTTTCAGCGTGACGGTGAGGCTGTGCGCGCACAGGGGGAAGGGCGGGGGAGCAGAGATGAGTGGTGAGAGCAAATCACGGCGCCAGGGAACATATCCGTATCAAAGTGCATGTTTAAGCGGTGGCCGGAATCAGCATTGAGCATTCTCTACAGTATAGGTGTGAAGAAAAGCAAGCGATTGGATAAGTAAGCCTGGAAGGCACCCGGGAAGTCTCATCAAGATGCCAAACACTGCACCGCCTCCAGAGTGGGCTGGAGGTACACTCTGTCGCTACCCTTGCACACTTTCCCCTTGTCTGGCCATGATAATCCTCACTTGGCATCAGAAGATGAGAAGGGGGCTTTGTAGGGGTCCACTGCCTCGCCGCTGCCAATGCCCAGGGGAACCTTGGCGCCAGTCCGGGTGACGTTGCTGCCATCCGGTAGGGTAGTGATCCACTAGCAGGGCAAAAGCGAAACATGGTTGCCGCACATGGTGCACGACACGGGGTATGTGTACGTGAGACTCGGTAATGTGGTGCATTCGTTTCAGATGCTGTGACCACAGAAACATATGAGATCTCGCCTGGGACTATGTCAGCAAGCAACTTCATCTTCAGAAGTCGCATGATGTGACAGCAAGCTTGCGCAATACATGCAGTGGATTGCAGGACTCTCAAGGCTGCCTGACTATTTATCATCACGTAGCCGTGAGGTCGCCAGCTGCGTTTGCGCGGGGCCCACTCTCAAGGTGCGATTTTGAACACCACCTGGGGTTGGTGTGGGTGACGCATGCAAACACACCACAACCACTGACCTCATAGGTGCAGGGCGGCGCGTTGCACTTAGTGTCAGTAGCTTCCAGATTGACAACACTTGGATAGGGCAGCTTGGCAGAGAAGGGCGCACCCGCCAGAGTCGCAGTGGGAGTTGGCTGTGCGAGTGCAGGAAGCAAGCGCTTTGTTAGTGGTGCGGCCTGGTTGTGCATGAAGGACTGTGCTATGACACTCACCAGGTTGAGGGCACAAATGGGGCAGGCCCAGAAGCCGTCAAAGGTATGTGCACGCAAGCAGCCGATGCTTGGACGGCATCCCCGGTCCAGGGAGGAGAGGGAGAGAGGGAGAGAGGGCATGGCGTGCGCCCGGCTCACCAGGACTGTGACGTTGCTGGCGGTGGTGGTGCAGCCCTGCAGGGGTACGCAGACCGTCACAGCCACGGAGCAGGGCAGCGAGCCGTACGTGGGGGAGAAGGGGTCCACCTCTGCCAGCGCGTGGGTGAGAAAGGGTTTGTGACTCAGCACACAATTGAAAGGCTATTCTGCGTTGCTTGGCTTGAAAGGCGCACGATTGCGGGAGGGGGGGGGGGCAGAACCTCAACATGCTTCCTGGGCACGGTCCATAGTATCCCGACAAGACTGCTCACGTAGGCCACTGCCAACCCCAAAGTTGAACGAGCTGCCGGACTGGTTGGCTACAGGAGGGGATGACCCGGGTGGGCACGTCACCGCCCCTGTGTTTGGCGGGCGTAGGGAATAGGAGGGGGCGCCGGGGATGGGTCAGAGGTTGTGGGTTAAAACAGCAAGTTTAGTCAGCTGGATGCACAGTGCTAACAGTTCCCCAGTGCATGCGCCCCAGGCTTAAGGTTGTCAGACACGCTTACATGATACATTGGGTGGGCTGGTAAAGCCAGAGGTGTCAAGGGTAAGGCTGACATTCTGGATGCAGGATGTGCGGCATGGGAGGGGACGAAGCTGTGAAGGGAGTGTGATCGCATCCATACTTGGAAGGGCTTGCTGCACCGCGCTCCATCCAGCACTAGGAAGGCACAGGCCTGGCAAACGCTGGTGCCACTTGTACATAAAGGCCAGAGGCAAGATGCCAGTAGGCAGGCCTTTCTGTCTGGATGCGCACCCGAGGGAAAGGGCCTCCAAGATTGCCGCCAATGGCAGGCAGCCCGGAGAAGGCATTAGTTGGAATCAACACCGGCGCCTGAACTGCGTTTTGCAACCAGGGTGGGCGGTGTGGATAGCAGTCACAGCCAGTGCAGAGTCAGAGAGGCGGCAATTGCATGTCATGATGTTGAGAGCAAAGCAGAACACGGGGGAGGCAAGGGCCTGCCTGTCTGTCTGTCTGTCTGTCTGTCTGTCTGTCTGTCTGTCTGTCTGTCTGTCTGTCTGTCTGCCTCTCTCTTCCTCCCTCACACAGGCGCACACACACACACACATACACATACACACACACGCGCGCACGCGCGCGCGCGCATCCCCCCACACACAGTTGCACCTCTCCACACCCATACACACACATGTATTTGTCTGCGCCGCTTGTGTCTTAGGCATGAACGATCACAGCAAACGTGATGCGTTTAACACAATCCCCACACATTGAGGTTGGCAGTCATGTAGAAGTTGACGGCACCTGGACCATCCCCGACACAAGCAATCACGCCCCCCTCACCAGTCAGGGTCGTGCTCTTGGAGTCAATCAAACCTTGCGAGTCCGTCACGATCAGAGTCACACTGCACAAGGTGGCGGATGTGATCACCGGGACGATGAAAGGGTCGATCTCCTGGCCCCTGCCAGCGGTGATGCTGACTGGCGTGGTTACGGTGGAGCTGGTCTTGTTGATGTTGCGGCCATCGGGGCAGACCACTGCAAACTGTGTTGAGCAGGGCGGGCTGGCACAGGACGACGCCGACGCAGATAGCTGGATGGTAGCGGGGTCACTGGTGGTGACCATGTAAGGGGCACCCGTGAAAGTCGCGACTGGTGGTGCCTGCACAGACACAAGTACGTACGTGGGTGGGTCAGCGTGCACGTATGACTTTGCAGGATGTGCATTGGAGTGGTGTTTGTTGTGTATTGAGAGGCAACTACAGTATATACACGTGATGAGACGCTCGCTGTATGGGGCAAAGACTCAGCAGAGCCACCCCAAAGGGCCCGCGCCTGTGTTGAACTTTCCGTGCAGACCCAATCGCTTTATTGCACCACCAAGCGGGGATGTATCAATCGGCGCGGTCTGATACTCAAGAATCCCAGGCGCCTGCATCCCTCACCAGCAAGGTCAGGGCGTATGAGGGGGAGAGGGCAGAGCCCTGGACGGGGGTTGAGATCTGCACGCTGACGTTGCAGGCCTTGTTACCTGGGGTGGGTGGGTGCAGGTGGATGTGTTGGTGGGTGCGGCGGTCCAATCATGGGTGAAGACAGTAATTAATGGACGAAAGTCAGCAAAAATAACGACAGCTTCAGACCAGCATGCCGCAGCAACGTCAGGTGCAGAACCTCCCATACGTGCGGGTTGGATACATCCGACACAGGTGCACTGTGCCAGATCCTGCAAGCTGGCTTACCATAGGGGCTCCCTAGATCGATGACTGAAGAGACAAGGAGAGTGGAATGGTTGTGTGCGCAAAAGACAACAGCGAAGTTGTGTCAATCATTGTGTGAGGCAGTGCAGCAGGTCTGGGCACGTGGCCACAATATGCCCGGCAGCGAACTGGTGCCAGGCAAGTGATCTTGTACGCCCACCCGCCTTCACGCGGCCCACCCCTGCCCCAGTCTCGTCGTAACTCACTTTGTCCAGCCCCGGCGGTGACTGCGACAGTCTGGGTGGAGAAGGTTCTGGTGATGTTGCCGTTGCACGCCAACGTCCCTGCAGCCAGTGTGGTGATGAGGGGCAGGGTTTCGCCGCCCACGAAGCTCCACAACATTCGCACGTCATGCAATGATTGCCTCTGGTCATCAATAACCCAGCCTTGGAACCGCACAAAGTCCCATCATCTTCAAAATTAGACCCCTTCATTTTCACCACACCAGCAAAGATGTTCAGCAGGTTGTGCAGACAACTGCAACGTCATAAATGTCATGCTCTAACCATTGGTTTCAGCAAGGCCACCCACATGCATAGGTTGCTGCGCCAACCACAACAGTCGTGCTGTTTGCAGCCAGGTTGATAACCTGCCGGGGCAAGAATGTGGGGCGTGCGCATTACTGCGGGGTACTTATTGTGGCATGCAAGGCGGCCACAACAACGGCGAGCCTGTCGGAGGGTGCCTCGGAGCACAGGTCAAACCCCGCAATGCAGGCTACTTGTGGCGGCTATTGATCAATCAACCGCCTTGTCGTCTGTATGAGAGCCCTTCCTGACAGGATTCTTAACCTGCTCCATCCTTCGCCTTCAAAACAGTAGAATACGCAGCTGCTGCAGGATGCTGAACGGACGAAACTGGCTGCTAAGACAGCTGCCAGCACGATCCACACCACCCAGTCATGCAGCCCAGCGGCCGCAGCATTCCGCCTCACCGAGGGGTACGTTTTGACGCTGGTGGTCGGTACACCGCTAACCACAGCGCTCAGCACCGGCGCGGCCTGGGGGTCCGGAACGTAGATAGGGGAAAGTGGCCGGAAGAGCAAGGTGCGAGTGTTCAGGAATTATTGGCAAGACAGCGTGCAACAAGGGCGCTGCAGCTGAGAAATCAGAGGTAGTGCACCCCCTCTCCTTATCCAGTCCCTGTTTGCAAGCCCACTGGCTGACTTGCTCATCCTTGCCTCCCCATAAGCTGCTGCCGCGCAGCGCAGCAAGCTCACTGCAATGTTGAGCGTTATGTCGTGGTCAACAGGGCAGCCACGGCTTGTGGTGGCGACAAATGACGCGGTGCAGGTGTACGCCTCTGTTCCAACTCGGATGGCGCTGCCAGGACCGCCTGCAGAGAGAGTCACGCTCAAGCCTGTCGTCGTTGCAGGGCTCGGGCGCCCGCTGTCACTGCGTAGTTTGTGAAATGGGGTTGGAGGGGGGTAAGTGACTGCATACGCCATGTAAAGGGCATTATCAAGGGCACAGCGCACATCAGCATTCCAATTCAGCAGCCCTCGTGTCGACATAGGTCTGGGTTGAGCCAGGATTCTAACCAAAGCTCTTCCTTCCCCTTCACGCCTCGGTTCCCCCTCTCAGCAGGCCCGCACCAGGAGAACGTCCAAACAACGCTGCGTCGGAGATACAAGGTGGTGATTGTGGCAGTTGAGTGGGCACGGTGTTGCATCAGGGCAATTGAGTGAGCCGGGCGGCAAGATTTGGCACAGTGTTGTCCATGGGCCCCGACAGCATCTGGTATGCAGTGATGGCCTAAACCGCTTGGAGACCTGCCAATCAACTGCAAAAATATGTGGGGCGGCACAGCCCTTGCGAGCCCTCGCCAAGGCGGCAGGGCTACTGCAGCGCGTACAACCTTAAACTCACCCAGCACCATTGACGGTGACACCTTCGGGCAGGGACGTTGTGACAAGTGACTGCAGCACGACGCTGGTAGCGTTGTAGTCCACATCCTTGCTGAGCACAGAGGTGTGGGCAGCGCCCATGCAGCCAAAAAACGTGCGCGTCATGTGCCTGCAAGCGACGCACAACCAAGAGCAGACACAGGCAGAGGAGGTACACATGTTTACAGAGCTCTGTTGAGGTGAAGGCCTGCAAGAGGCTGCTTGCAAGCAAGGCGGCGCGGGGTGCACTGCGCTGCCGTGGATGTGGCATGGTGGACGACATGTCCGCCTGACTGTTCGCTGCTGCCACCCTCCCTTGCATGTGTGGCTGGCAGACTGCGCAGGAAAAGCAAACAGCGTTTGTCGCCTGGCTCTGGCCGTTGTGGAGATACATGCAACTTGTCCCTATGCACCCACCAGTTGTCAGCGCTTGCCATGCCTGTGCTGCGGCTGCGAAAGCCCCACTGCAGGCAACAAGTTCCAGGGTGAGAACAGTGTCATTTTGTTGCACATGGGCTCAACCATACGGGCATGCCGCAGCAGACAGACGACAGTCATTGGCGGCAAGCGGATACTGTGTGACAGCTCTCTAGATCGCACCTTGAACGTTGACGGCCTGCAGGATGGGTAAGATATGCAAGTTGGACATTGAGGGTGGTATCAGGTGAATTCCATCAGGAGAGCAGCAGCGCTCAGTGCTGTCGACACATGATTGCGCACCTGACCTGCGGCACCTGGCTGGCTCCAGGCGCTGCAATGCTCTACGCTCGGCCTGTTGGGTGATGCCGGAGCCAGAGGCTCTGCCTTGTCTCTCATGATCAGTATTACTCCAATCAGCTGCCCACTTGTCAGCATCCGCCACACTTCTGCCCACTGTTGATACTTGGCCAATCAACCCCTCCCCCCAGGACGCACCCTGTGAGTGTCAGCCTGGAGAGGGTGTCAATGGCCACTCTCTGGGTGCCGCTGAAAAGAGTGTAATCAATGGCTTCTGCTCAGGATCAGAGGAGGAGCAGGCATCACGAGCAGGGTTGGTCGCATCAAGCAAGTGCAAGGGGATGACAACGATTATGAGTGGGAGGGGGTGGAGGCCAGTACCACACTTGCCAACAATGCAAGACTTGCCTAACAAAAGGTCAGCCCGATCCATTGCCCTTTTTTGTTTCACAGCCACCCTGCCCAATCATACATCCAAGTGGCCCAGCAATGCAAGACCCGGCATTCTGCAAACGCCTGCGCGCACGGCGGTCTTACGTTGCGCGGTCAAACTGATGTTGCGGGTGGCGAACAGAGCAATGGGCTTTATGTTGAGGGTGTTGCTGATGTCGGCCGGCTCCTGAACTACCAGCTCCAGCAGGGATGACAGCAGGCCGCTGCTACTCCAGCTGAAGTCGCTGGCAAAGTAGACGTCGATGCTCTGGCCGGCTGCCACAGTCAGCGTCTCGGTTGACAGGCAGGTGGCGAAGCTGTGGGGTTGAAAAGGGGGGGGGGGGCGTTACAATGATTGGAGGTTGGATGCGTGTTGCCCAATATGTTGTAAGATGTGGGCTCCAAGGCTTTCGCATTTTGCAACGGGATCGCCGTCCGAGCTGCCAGACTGCATCAGGTGAATGAGCAGGGTGCCCCACACCCCGATGACATAGCAGGGGCAATTGGGTGTGCCCATTCAGTGCAGCTGCTGCCCGAGGTCGTGGCGCAATGTCAGCAGTGATAGATCAAGTGCACCGGACTTGCAGGCAGAAAGGTGCACGCAACCACTTGAACAACTCACGTCTGGCAGTCGTTCTGCAAAGACATGAGTAGGAGCATTTTTGAGGGGGCACAAGGTTGTTGGGTTCAGTTTCCTTGCTCGCTGACAGGCAGCGTCGCAGGCGCGTATATGTGGTGTGCATACCACACTGCCCCTGGTCCAGCAAAACGAAAGATGTGCCCAGGAGAGGCGTGTCCAAGCTGTGAGGGATGCCTGTGAGTCCATGCGGTGAGCACATGCATTGCAGCGGCAGCTCACCAAGCCGTTGAACTGGAACAACGCTTGCTGGGTGAATGGCAGGTAGGTTCCAGCATTGAAGGGGTCGCTGAAGCTAAAGCCCCCCAACGCCCCGGTGCCCCACGCTGCATTGGTCAACGTTGTTCCTGATGCGCAGCCAGAGTCCTCGGCGCGCGTGCACATGTAGTTTGTGAGCGTGTCCCCCTGCATTCAAAATGCCATCAAAAGCAATCAGGGTCAGTGGGTGGGGATATATGAGCGAAAAGCGTGATGTAATGTAACATAATGAAAGCCGGGCACAACAGCGGCGTCTCGGAGGGGTGGCTGGGCGTGTTGCGTGTGGCAGCTCCTCAGGTCACAAGGCATCAGCGAAGCGACCTGAAATTGTGATTGCGAACAGTATTAACAGCCACGGTGTACTGCTAGCGTATGAATTCTAGCTCACCCGGGTGTCTGAGGGGTACTTGAGGGGCACCCACACAATGCCCGTGCTGGTTGCATACCACGGCGGAGCAGTCAGCGGCGCAGTCAGGGTTGCCAGCTGCGAGCTAACCGTGACGCCCGCCATGGCAGGCTGCGCCAACGTCAGAAGGATGCTGACTGCGGCCAGTAAGAGGGCGAGCCAAGGAAGGGGGCACGCTGCCGGGCGCCCAGGGCAGCTGCGTACCATGCAGCCCTGCGACAACACGCGCGGAAGAGACAAGGGGGGCAGGGCACAGCGATCACTGCCGGCTCAGCATGGGCCCCTTGATGCACTCTTGAATTTTGAGGTTCAATGCCCATGTGCCTCCGTGTAAGCTCCCTGGTTACCGCGTGCCCCCAATTGCCAAATGACAAAACGCGTTTGCACTGAGTGGTCCTTGCAAGCCGGCAGTCCAGCCGTACGAGGTGGCCGCTGCGGGCTGGTGACACCTCCACTTGCCAGTGCAGATTCACCCTCACCATTTTTGAGACACGGGTCAGGCGCTGTGACAGGACTCCCAGTGCTGCTCTGAGTCACTTGCGCAGTAGTCAGCCACTTGGCAGTCCAGCAGCAGAGTCCTCAATAATGGCACCGCTGCTCAAAGCAAAAAACGCATAGACTGCTAATGGTTCAAGTACTCGCCACAGCGCTGAGCCGAGGAGGCCGCACCCGTGTTTGCGCTGGTTTTGGCGGCAAAAAGCTGGCACGCTAGAAGCAAATAGTCGGGCTAGACCAGAATTGTATATGCATGAATCTTAACTTTGCATTTAATGGCCACGCTTGGACGTCGGACTGGAGCAAAACACATTTTGTGACCAGGAACCAGGTCCGCGATCGGAGTGACACCCGACACAGTCGCCCGTGATCCTGTTGAACAATAAATGTATTAAAACTTCGTCTTGCGTGGCCAGCGCAAATTTCAGGATATGACTGCAGGAGTGGCCAGTCCTGCACTTCCAACGCCCGCCACGCCGTGCGCCTGTTCGGCGAGGGCGGGATGAGAACCATGACACCCCCGGTGACAGGACCGCCCCAGGTCCGCTACCCTCTGCTGCAGCCAAAAGAGCGGCTGCTGGTCCTCCTCGAGCATCTAGGTGCTCGAGGAGGACCTAGATGGACACTCGCTTTGTGCACTCCGCTGCTTGCCGCACACCTGCTCCTTTGATCCCCGGTGAGACGGTGACGGCCGACTACGACTCCAAGGTAGTTGAGGTATACTTCTATCTAGGGCTGAAAAGAATGCGGCATATCCCTTGTGCCACATTGGGCGCCCGCAGCTCCACAGCTGGCACCGCGCATGTCACTCTTCTTGATGACCAAGCATGTAGACCAGGCACCGGAAATCTTGCAATCGCTGCCATGGTGCTGTCCCTGCTGGCCCGCTGTTGTTTGAAAGGTGCAAGGAGAGGTGAGGTGGCACAAAGCACAAATTTTGTGTGGGCGTTCACAGCTGCCTGGTCCAACCTGCGAGCGGAACAGACGTTAGAGGCTCCATAATCCGGGAACATGCTGACAAGTCCGCCGTAATCCCCAGCAGAAACCTCATTGATGGCTAGGTGCTGGCGCCGCTTGCTTTGTTACCTAACCTGGTGGCGCTGTTCGTGGCCAGCCAGTCATTGTGCAACCTGGCGAGGACATATACACACGCGTTGCGCTGACCAAAAGCAAGCCCAAGGTCGCCACGTCAGCAGGGTCGATGCTGTCGGTTCCATTCAAGCACCCGATGGCGCATGCGTACAAGCGCGCTTCGCCGCGGCGTGAGCGGCGTGGCACAGCGGGCACAGCGTGCAATGTTCGCATGGCTGAGCGTCATGAGGTTTGTCCCGAACTCAAGCGCCTCATCGGGCAAGAGCGGGTGGCCCCGGCTGGCCTCCCTAGAATCCTGTGGCCTCACGCCACGGCCAAAACTTTGATCGTGCAGTCAGCCAGGGCCTGCAGCCGTGCCGCCAGCCAGTTGCAGGAGCACAGCAGTCGGCAGCTGGCACACTTGGCAGCAGCGGCACGCAGCCGCGCGTCTGCGAGCGGCAGCTTCTGGCGCCTCATTGGCGTGTACTCGGCGCTGAGGACCAGCACCCCCTGCCAGGGGCGGCCTGAGCGCAGTGCAGTGCTGGCGGCGTGCGGCGCGGCGCCGCGTCGCTGCCTGGGAGGCGCGCGAGCCGCAAGCTTGAGCGGCAATCAGGTGCACACGGCCCACCTACGCCGCGAACAAGCGCACGCAGAGCGTGTGCATTCATCCCTGCGCTCGTGCAGGGAGAAAGTGCCGCGTCTGTCGCCCTGGCGCCGCAGCCGGCTGGTCATTTCCTTTGCGGACTGCTGGTTCCCTTTCTTCCTCGTCTTCTGGTCTGGCCTCCTGCTTGGCTCTGCGACACGCCCCTCGCGCCGCCCACAGATAACCAGCCACCCTGCTAGCCCAAAGGCGCACAGCAAGTCGCTCGCTGCCAAGCCATGTGGGGCGCGGCGTGCTCGCGACCGCAGCAGCGCCGGACGGACCAGTCTGTCAGGAGGCGGCGGGCGACCTGCCAGGCTGTTCCGGGGCGCCACCACTGCATGCATGCACTCGTGCACGTGCCCTCGCACTCTGCCGCGCCAGGTTTCTGGCAATGCCTCCCCGTCCAGCACCACCCTAGCGGGGGAAGCCATCATCAACATCACACATGACTGCAACACCCCCGCCCTGTATGTTGGATACTGTTCCTGCTGTCTAAGCGATGGAACACTAACCCACGGCAGCTGCACACAACAGGGCCGCGCTGCCACCAATTACTGGATTATACCAGGCTCTCTTGCTGCGCTCCTGGGAAAACGCACGCGCAGCCTAGCGGCGGAATCTGCCGTTCAGCCAGCGCACAAAGTCATATGAAGTCAAGCCAGCTATTCACTCGCACGTGCTACCATCATGCAGGCGATACGGCAGGCAACGCGATCCCACCCTGGCAGCCGCAACCAGGACCCATCATGGAGACGTACATTCAACCATGCACCAGTCCCCGCGGCTCCAGAGAGCCGGGCAAGGGTGTGTCGCCTCACTAATCGACACGTTGCTGCAGCAACAACAGACCAAACGCGCAACCCATACGCAGCTTCACAGGTCCTTTCTGCTCTCGCCACCATTCGCCGCAGCCGCCTCGCCCTCGCCCGCAGCCTCTGCCGCAGCCGCCGCTGCCGCGGGCTTCCGCCGCCGCGCACCGCCCTCGCCCTCCTGCTGCTGCGCCCCCTCGCCCTCGCCGGCCGGCAGCGCGGCCGTGGCCGCGCCCGCGCCGCCTGCGACCGCGCCGGCGGCGGTGCCGTTGGCGTGTGCGCGGGCGCGCTCCTCCTCCATCTCCGCGCTGAAGCCAAACTCGTTGACGCGGGTCTTGTCCACGCGGTAGATCCAGCGCTGCGGACGAGGGGGCCAGGCAATGCGTTGTCAGCCGCCCGGGGCTTTTGAGGGAAGGCCGGATGCGTTGGAGAAGTCACTTGCGCAGGGGGCGCCGGCAACCTGGGCGCGCTCACTTGCGCTGACGGCACAGGGAGCCGTCACTGCGCGCCTCCGCGGCCCCCGATACCCCTTGCCCCTTGGGCCCCGTGTGGTGGAAGCCGTGTCGCGCCCGCCGCACCTGGTATATGAAGATGAGGAAGATGATGTCGTCGCGGAAGACGCTGAGGCGGTGCAGGGTGGGCATCTTGATGACGAAGGCGAAGAGGTCGTCTATGATGGTGTTGAGGAACTTGTAGGTCATCTGGCGCCACGGGAGGTGGGCCACGGACTTGAGCTTGTAGTTGAGGTACAGCTGGGGGCGGTGGGGGAAGGGGGGAGGGGCGGGGTGTGAGCAAGTGAGTTGCGTTGCAAGCATGAGTGAGCGCGTGTGCGAGTATTGTGGGGGTGAGTGCTTGCGTGTGAGGATATGTGCGCACATGTGTGCAACTGCTCATGCACACACAGAGGATTGATTGTTACTTGAAAGGGATGTGATGGCGGCACTGGGCTGGAAATGGCTCAGGCGTGGGGTTGGGAAATGCAAATGTGCCAGCATTGGACAGAGCACGTCCAAACACCCGCCGGCTTGCACGTGTGCGTCGCCCTTGCCGCCCCCACTACGCCGCGCGCGCCGCTCACCTGGGGGCACATGAGGATGAACCCGAACGTGTAGACGGCCCCCACCAGCGAGCCCAGCACCCAGGAGTACCATGACTTGTGGGTGTCGTACATCAGGGAGTAGGCCGCGTAGCCTGGGGAAGGGGGCAAGGCGGGGAGTGGGAGGGGTGGGGGGGTAAGGGGGGGGAGATTGAGCAGGTAATCGAGGGGGAGATGGGCACCCCCCCCCCTGGAGCAGCGCCGCCACGCGTGCAGGACGCTCTGGCCGCGTATACAGCTCATAC